GTTTGACGTTCCTGCAAAAAAATCAACAATGGTTAACAATAAAACATAAACTCAATAAAACAACTTTATAAGGAAAAGTGTGTGGTGGTATGCCCACCATTAGAAACCTCCCTCAATCCACCCACTTCTAATGGTGGGCACACATGAAATGTGCCAACAAATATAAAATATATATGCCGAAGCATAGGGGCCATCCACCCACAGGCCACCCCAGGCCCCCCATGCTTTGGCATATATTCTGTTTTTTATAACTGCGGATGAAAAATCTCATCCAACAGCGCTGCTCACGCTGACTTATGTCTATTCTGAGAGCAAGTTCCTGTTGCTGTCAGAATAAACAGGTCAGCGCTGCAGCTGAAAGCATTCCTGCAAACAGAAATGTTAACAATAAAACAACAATAAACCAGTGAAAGTCGAACAATCACAAAAATGACAACAACAAAAAAAACTATAACTATTTTTGGTTTTTTACATTTTTTTATTTTTTTGGGGGGTATTTGTACTTTTATTTATTTTTTTTATTTTTTTTAAACTTTTTTTTTCCAAACTTCAAACATTTAAACAGCTGGTAGGGTCTCTCCAAATGCGATAGCCAGTTTCCTGACTACCGAACATCTTTTGAGACCCTGTGTAAATGTGCCCTGATCTGTGCCGTGCTGTACCCTATACTAATAGTTCACTAGTGTATGGTAGAGGCGGAAGCAGGGCTTGATGCAGAGGCCAGGTTGGCCAGGACAGGAGGGACAACAATAGCGGCTGTCACGCCTAATTCCACGTTTGCTGCAGACACGACATCTTTTTTGGGGTCTTCTTTGGGTTGGGGTACCAGGAATGGTATCGAGAAAATGTCTCTCATGCAGACGGCTAACTGCATCTGGGAGAGGGATTTGGGGCACAGCACCCTTCTGGATACAAAAGGGCCCTGATGTTTCTCTAACTGGAAATTTAGGTATGATCCACTATGTCCAGTTGCTTTATAGAGAACAAAAGCATTATATAGAGCCAATTGAAATAAATAAACTGACACTTTTATGTACCAAGCGTTTGGATTTTCGGGAAACTAAATACGGCTGCATCATCTGGTCATTGAAGTCCACCCCTCCCATGTTAAGGTTATAATCGTGGACACAGAGGGGCTTCTCAACAACACCAGTTGCCGTGGTAATTTGGACGGTCGTATCTGCATGAATGGAAGACAGGAGGTAAACATCCCGTTTGTCCTTCCACTTCACTGCGAGCAATTCTTCATTTCTCAAGCAGGCTTTTTCCCCCTTTTTAAGACGGGTATTTACAAGCCGTTGGGGGAAGCCTCGGCGATTAGATCGCACAGTGCCACATGTGCAAATTCCCAAATTGAACAAATGTCTAAATAGTGGCACGCTTGAATAAAAATTGTCCACGTATAAGTGGTACCCCATGTGGAAATAGGATGACGCCAAGTCCCAAACTATCTTGCCACTGCTCCCATGTAGTCTGGGCATCCGGGGGGCTCCAAGTAACTATCTTTTCCCTCGTAAATCCGAAACTTACCATGTATAGCCTGTTGCCCTCTCACAGGTCTTATACATCTTGATCCCATATCTGGCACGCTTGCTGGGGAGATATTGTTTGATTACAAGGCGGCCAGAATATTGAATGAGGGACTCATCGATGCAGATGTTTTTCTGGGGAGTATACACATCTGCAAATTTTTTAGGTTAAAGTGATTTACGAGGGGCCGAATTTTGGTGGAGCCGGTCAAATTCAGGGTCACCCCGAGGAAGACTGAGTGAGTTGTCGTAGAAGTGCATAAAACGCATTAATACTCTCATATCTATGCCTGGCCATATGGCAGCAGAGAACACGGGCATGTGAACAAGAGGGTCGGTGGACCAATACAACCGCAATTGATTTTTATCATTAATGCCCATGTTGAGGGTTAGCCCAAAAAAACTTTAAATTCGGAAACCGTAATGGGTTTCCATGCGAATGGTCTGGCAAGGTTTGAATTTGGGTTGGCGGCGAGATAAATTGGCGTGCATATAAATTGCTTTGATCCACAATCAATGCATAAAGATCTTCTGTGAAAAACAGCTCAAAAAAATTAAGGGAGTATTTAAATTTGCTGTTTCCACCTGAATTCCGGGTTGGGCAGTGAATGGGGGAAGTACGGGTGCTGCAGAATTTGTGGGCTGCCAATCGGGATTTTGCAAGCACATCCGGAAGGACACTAGGGGCTCTACGGGCCTGTCTGCGAATTCTTGGTGGCCGCGGGACACTACTTGTGCTCGCCACCGCACCAGCTTGTACTGCACTTATGGGTCTCGCCACGTCACCAAGTGATACTGCAGTGCTGGTATGCCTACGACCAGGACGTACTAGGCCGCTGGTGCTCGCCAGTTCACCAAAAGATACTGCGGCACTAGTACTGGCACTCTGCTGCATATGAGAGTCATCATGCATTTGTACCACCTCAGCAACCTGTGAATGGGATCGGGTACGCCTGACCTTAGCAGGGACCACTTCCTCGTCGCCTGAGCTAGCTGTCAGGGTGCCGCTGCCGCTGCTGTCTATAGGTTCGTATTCTGAGCCTGATTCTGCCAGTGAGTCTTCCCCTTCGCTCTCACTTGACATGCTCAGAATCCTATAGGCCTCTTCACTAGTGTACCTTGTGCTTAGACATTTTGGCCACTAAATTTACAGGTACCTAGTGCGACTCACGGGAAAAAGAGCGCCTGGCTGTCAGGGACTGCTTGAACCGCTACAAAAAATTTACCGACAAGTGCTAACAGATATCAGGCCTGATTCTGTGAACACTGCGGTTTTGTGTGTAATATGTATCAAGTGACAGTTATCTACTGACACTACTGCACTTGCCGGGGGGAGAAGGGGGGGGCGTAGGGGCTAAACGCAGGTGCTGGCAGGTGTTGGGGCTGATCCCGCTAACACTGCGTTTTTGGGGATACTAAAGTAATGTGAATGCTGGTATAGCGCTGATCTGATCAAAGATATTGATCCAATCAGACACTATACTAGCAATGAAGGTTTAGCGTTGCAAGTAAGCGTGTTCCTGGCAATCAAGGGGTCAAATGTGATTATCTCTGTGTACTAGCGGGCAAACTGGTGCTATCTGGGAGGGGCGCTAACACTATTGGAAGTCGCTAGCGACACTGATACAGTGATCAGTAAAAATTGGTTCACTGAGCAGTGACACTGGTGACAGGGCAGTGAAGGGGGTCAACTCATGGGGGGAGGGGGGGGGGGGGGGGCGATCAAGGGGTTTAGACGGGATCACTGGTGTATTAGCGGGCAATCTGGCGCTATCTGGGAGGGGCGGCGCTAACACTAACGGAAGTCGCCAGCGACACTGATACAGTGATCAGTAAAAATTGGTTCACTGATCAGTGACACAGGTGACAGGGGCAGTGAAGGGTCGCAACTCGGGAGGGGGGGGGGGCGATCAAGGGGTTAGACGGGACTACTGGTGTATTAGCCGGCAATCTGGCGCTATCTGGGAGGGGCGCTAACACTAACGGAAGTCGCCAGCGACACTGATACAGTGATCAGTAAAAATTGGTTCACTGATCAGTGACACTGGTGAGAGGGCAGTGAAGGGGTCAACTCAGGGGGGGGGGGGGGGGGGGCGATCAAGGGGTTAGACGGGACTACTGGTGTATTAGTGGGCAATCTGGCGCTATCTGGGAGGGGCGCTAACACTATCGGAAGTCGCCAGCGACACTGATACAGTGATCAGTAAAAATCGCTTCACTGATCAGTGACACTGGTGACAGGGCAGTTAAGGGGTTAACTGGGGGGTGGGGGGGGGGGAAATTAAGGGGTTAAATGGCTTTATTGGTGTACTGGGGGGCAAAACTGGCGCTATCTGGGAGGGGCGCTAGCACTATTGGAAGTCGCCAGCGACACTGATACAGTGATCAATAAAAATCGCTTCACTGATCAGGTACACTGGTGACAGGGCAGTGAAGGGTTAACTGGGGGGGGGGCAATCAGGGGGTTAAATGTGTCCTAGAGTGTGTTCTAACTGTTAGTGTAGTGTTTTACTCACGTTTAAATGTCTCTTCTTCTCTGTCTGGAACGGAATGTGTCCAGGCAGAGAAGAATGACATCATATCCTGCCCTGTGTAAATATCAACACAGGACAGGATAGGACAGGGACCGATCATCCGATTTCAGCCAGAATCACTGGCTGAAATCTAATGATTGATCCCTCCTGGATCGAATCGGATCACCCGCGGGTCGGCGGGGCGCGCGCGCGCAGCGCGCGCGCCCCTGCCCGCGAAAGTGTCGGGAGCGCGGAACCCGTTTTTAAACGTGGTTTTTGCGCTCCACTGCCGCCCTGCACACGTATAAACACAGTGGCAGGGCGGCAAGCGGTTAATGCCTGAACATTGTGTTCAGGCATTAAGATTAGTTTTAAATCTTTTCAACTTATACAAAATGTTAGTAAAACTGTACATATATTTTCAGGACAAAATTGGGCTTTCATTGGGTGGTAAATGGCAATGGATTGCTCCTGATTTTTTTTTAATCAAAGGAAAACTGGCAAGAATAGTAAAAAAAAATATTTATATGAGGAATCTAGTGGATATCACTATAGTGGTGTGTACTACCATTTTTTTTCCAGCTTCCACAGAGAACCCACAGGAATGGCACATACACACAATGTATAAAGCTGGACCCATGTAACTATGTAAAGATTGTCACACTTAAATCCCAATACTGAGCTACAATAATTTGCGTCTTTCATATTTGCTTTGAGCTCAATGTTTGTGTAATCTGGATTGCTAAATGTTCTTATTTACCGTATTTTTCGCTACATAAAGACGCACTTTTTACCCCAAAAAAAGGGGGGAAATGTCAGTGTGTCTTATGGAGTGGCCGGTCCGGTATTTCTGCCGCCAGCACCATGTCAGAATACCGGGCTCAGCTCTTCTCTGCAGCAGGACCTTACCTGTTCCTCAGTCCAGCGCTGTACAGTCTTCCCTCGCCGGCATTTTTAGTGTGGGCACCCGGCTGCGCAAGAAGCGCTGCGCTTTGTGAATGGCCCGGTGTCTTCTGGGACCTGTCATGTGGGCCATTCACAAAGCGCAGCGCTTCTCGCGCATGCGCAGTGTGCACCCGGCTATCACAGCCGGGTGCACACAGTAAAGGGAGGACAACTCCACGGATGTGGGAGCGGGTACCTGTCAAATTCAGGTACCCGCTCCCCCTCCCTCCCCAAAGGTCCACAGTCTCTTGGTCATCTCCTGTACTGTGTCCGCAGTCTCTGGTCATCTCCTGTACTGTGTCCGCAGTCTCTGGTCATCTCCTGTACTGTGTCCGCAGTCTCTGGTCATCTCCTGTACTGTGTCCGCAGTCTCTGGTCATCTCCTGTACTGTGTCCGCAGTCTCTGGTCATCTCCTGTACTGTGTCCGCAGTCTCTGGTCATCTCCTGTACTGTGTCCGCAGTCTCTGGTCATCTCCTGTACTGTGTCCGCCGTCTCTGGTCATCTCCTGTACTGTGTCCGCCGTCTCTGGTCATCTCCTGTACTGTGTCCGCAGTCTCTGGTCATCTCCTGTACTGTGTCCGCAGTCTGTCTGGTCATCTCCTGTACTGTGTCCGCAGTCTCTGGTCCTCCCCTGTACTGTGTCCGCAGTGTCTGGTCATCCCCTGTACTGTGTCCGCAGTCTCTGGTCATCTCCTGTACTGTGTCCGCAGTCTCTGTTCATCTCCTGTACTGTGTCCACATTATCTGGTCATCTCCTGTACTGTCTGCAGTCCATTGGTTCATAATTTTTTTTTTTCTTGTTTTTCTCCTCTAAAACCTAGGCGCGTCTTATTGTCAGGTGCGTCTTATGGAGCGAAAAATACAGTATATTTTTATAGTAATATAGTTAAAGGGTTACTAAACCCAGGACCCTGCATTCACTATATCTGGTCTCCTACAGTACACAGAACATGGAAATGCAATTATTTTAGTAAATATTAACTGCTGAATACCTTTTCTCATCAGCAGTTAGTGCAGTCTCATGACTTCTATCAGTGTTCAGCAGAGCACATGTTAAAGATTATAGGAGTTTTCTTTCTGCTCTAGGAGGATGCAGAACCCCTGACCCTCTGTCTGGACAGTTCTGATTGGCCCTGTGCTTATCACATGCACTCTCCCAAGAAAAAAAAAACTCCCTGAGCATGTGCAGAGTGTTTCCACACGTTATGTCTTATCAGGATATAAGAGGAGGCACTGGAAGAAGGGGAGGATCAGAGAAATCAGGATCAAACAGCATTTTTTAGACAATGCAGAGTATTAACCCCTTAGATTCCACAGTAAGTATAAAAAGCATGCTTTACTGTGTATATAAATTAATTTTACTGTAGTGGGTTTAGTAACACTTTAACTTTAAATAGCTTTTTGACATATACATTTTGCATTGGAATAGACCACCAACAGAACTGTACACATTACAAACAACAGCTATTAAAACTAAAACACTCTTTTGTATAAAAACCACAAATACATTCTAGGAAAATCATGTTGTGCTCAGGGAACAGGACAGGTATTTATTTTTAATTTATTGCATGCAAATTTAAGTTGTCAAAAAAACAAAGCCTGGTGGTCATTAAAATGATTAATAATGTTTTTGCTGCCCCTTGACATGAAATGGTTTAAGAAATGCCAATTTACACAGGTAAACTTAATGAATACTGATTACATAATGGCTGAAGGAGAGGGGCTACCCTTATGCAAATTAGCTATGTGAAAACAAGAATTATGACAAAGAACCAGTACTTCTGATAATCAAGGAAGTAGGGCTAATCGAACTTCTTACTAATGTGCAAAATCTATTCATTTCATTTTGTTATTCCCACATATCATGAGGTTTAGGACTGGACCCAAAATCTTTCCCCAACAGGTTATCTTTGCTGCATCTGGTTTGTATACACTAACACATGAAATAAGCTCCTCTGTAGCTAGATCTGACTCTGACCTACCTTCTAGTATTAGTAAATCTTTCCTCTCTGGTTGCAGGTTTAACAAAGAAGAAAGAATATGGTTACTGCACAGGTTTCTACATTGGTAATCTTTTGTGACCTTTAATAAAATTCTGGTGCCATCTTCAATTACAGAAATAACCCGGATGACACTATACAAATTACTTAGCTTGCATGAAGCAAATCTGCTGAAGGAGAACCAAAATTATAATACTATACAGCAGGTTGTTATATCCAAATACCCATTAGTGAGGTATCAGTGTTTATGATGCCTTCTATTTAAAGATGATCTTTTTTTGCATACTTACACTGGTATAGCTTGGACCCATGTAATATGTATATCACAGCTGGGGACGTCAACAATCACTGTAGCAGTCAGTGCTGCTAGAATGATAGCTGCATCTTTCAGGTCCTGTGCCAAACAGGTTCCACTCTGCACACTGATCAAAGGGTGGGAGTTGGTCAGTTACTCGGCACAGCCATCATTTCCAAAATGTGCTATTTCTTTTTTTTTTTTTTCAATGAATACCACCATTCTTTGACTGGACAAAGTGGAGATCATGACATAACCAGCCCTCTTCCCTAAAAGCACAAAGACCCAGCAATGACATTACTTGGTCTAAAATACACTATATTATCAAATGTATTGGGGAAAACCCCTCCAAATCATTGCATTCAGGTGTTCCAATCACCTCCATGCCCACAGGTGTATAAAATCTAGTACCTAGGCATGCAGACTGCTTCTACAAACATTTGTGAAAGAATGGGTTGCTCTCAGGAGCTCAGTGAATTCAGATTGCCACCTGTGCAAGAAGTCCATCTGTGAAATTTCCTTCCTACTAAATATTTCACAGTCAACTGTTAGTGATATTATAACAAAGTGGAAGCAACTGGGAAGAACAGCAATTCAGCCACTAAAAATGACAGAGCGAGGTCAGTGCATGCTGAAGCACACAGTGCGCAGAAGTCACCAACTGTCTGCAGAGTCAATAGTTAAAGACCTCCAAACTTCATGGGGCCTTCAGATTAACACAACAACAATGCGTATAGAGCTTCATGGAATGGGTTTCCATGGCCAAGCAGCTGCATCCAAGCCTTACATCACCAAGTGCAATGCAAAGCATCTAATGCAGTGGTGTAAAGCAAGCTGCCATTGGACTCTAGAGCAGTGGAGACGTGTTCTCTGGAGTGCCGAATTACACTTCTCTGGCAATCCAGTGAGTCTGGGTTTGGCTGGGGGTTTTTAGGAGAATGGTACTTACCTAACTGCATTGTGCTAAGTGGAAAGTTTGGTGGAGGGGGATTATGGTGTGGGGTTGAGCTTGGCCCTTCAGTTCCAGAGAAGGAAACTCTTAAGGCGTCAGCATACCAAGACATTTTGGACAATTTCATTCTCTCAACTTTGTGGGAACAGTTTGGAGATGGCCCCTTCCTGTTCCAACATGGCTGAGCACCAGTGTACAAAGCAAGGTCCATAAAGACATGGATGAGCGAATTTGGGGTGGAGGAACTTGACTAGTCTGCACAGAGTCCTGATCTCAACCCGACAGAACACCTTTGGGATGAATTAGAGCAGAGACTGTAAGCCAGGCCTTCTCGTCTGACATCAGTACCTGACCTCACAAATGCAGTTGTGGAAAAATGGTCAAATATTCCCATAGACACACTCCTAAACCTTGTGGACAGCCTTCCCAGAAGAGTTGAAGCGGTTATCTATAGCTTCAAAGGGTGAGCCAACTCAATATTGAATCCTACAGACTAAGCCTGGGATACCATTAAACTTCATGTGCGTGTAAAGGCAGACGTTCCAATACTTTTGGCAATATAGTGTAAGTTACGAAAACATACGTTTTATTTAAACATTTCATTGACACATTGATTGGGGAGTGTGGGGGTGCAAGGAAGTAAAAATAAAAGCAAATTAAACTTCAGCTACTTGCAGTACTTACTGTGTCATGTCAACAACTACTTATTTTACATAGCGGGCACAGATAGGTTTATTGCTCATGTTTTTAAACAGCAATAAAAGTCATAAATTTAGCATCTTTGTATATATTTTCTTGGATTCATCACAAAAGAGTCAAGAAGGAACAAAGGGGATATTTGGTGTAATAGGAGGGAAGGGAGTATGAAAGTCTTAGGAAATAATCCTAAGACCGGCCAATGGATAGAGAGTCCATGCTGACCAACCCTCTGTTAGTGCAGCCTCTCAGCGGGACCACAGCCTCATTCACCTGGTGGACTGGGAAGCTGACTTCCCTATTATTTACATGCTTTTCCTTACACTTCACCATGTGAGTGCAATCATTTTAGCCTAATAAAATACTTTTTAACCTGCTACACTTAGGTAGCGCTTGTCCCCATCCCCTTTTATAAAGGTAAGGAAGCTTGCTTTGATTAACTGGGAGGTCGACTTTCAATGTTACCTCTTACATTGTAAAGTACAGGCATCGATAGACTAAACAAACATAAAACTCTAAAAAATAAAAAGTTGAAAATCATACTCTCTTATTGAAAATACACAGCATATCTAAGTAACTGCAATTCGCCCATTTTGTTATATTCAGTTTACATCACCTAACATCCATCTTCCGTTTAGTTCAGGTCACATTAATTTTTTCATCCATTTACATCAGTTTCTTGTACTCTTCCTTTTTTTAAACAGAGCAAAAATGCAGACTTGAACTGTTAAAATAACAGACCTCAATGGAAGCAGCCAAAAAACTGATGTAAACGGATAGGAATGCATCAACAGGATGGAACGGCCCGTGCGACAGAAAGTCTTTCAAACAGTGGTGTTTAAAATGCATGCTTAACACCCATGCCAATCATTCACTGGACACTTGGCACCCAGACACACATACATGGCCAAAATATCAAACTCAACTGCAACACCACATGTATTGAAGAAAACATGCCTTGCCTTGCGGCATGAATGAAAAAAATACATGAGATATACATTTTATCCTGTCGACATTTGTTGCAGGCCCACTGAAAAATTAACACATTGCCAATGTATGAAAATACAAGCATAGGTGTTGCATGGGCCCTAATATTGAAGTGATAAACTTAGCCTTCACAGCATACGCACC